GCGGCTGGCAGCGCCCGTTCCGCAGAGCGAAACGCCGGCATTAAGCTTCCGTGGCCGGGCCAGCCCCGCAGCGGGTGCCTCGGCCGGGTGCTCCGCGTTTGTCTGACCCCGGTCATCTGTGTTGCCGGTGCAAACACCTGAAAACTAACAGAGTGGCTCCCCCCCGGGAAAAAATTTAAGCCTACTGTAGTAACGCGTTAGCTGAAAATGACTTTATTTTTTAAAATGTCTCATAGAGTTGCTTTTTTTTTTAAAAAAGCACTAAACTGGAAGAATAAAAGTGAAGGAAAGAGGGTTTAGTACTTTAGATAGGCCTCACCTAGATGTTAAATCAGCTGCAGTTAAACTACTGAACCATTTTCATATTTGGGTTCTTTTTTCTACTTTCTTTGATCAATTATGGTATAAACTACTTAGGGAGTGCTGTTCCTTTACATATAAAAAATCCCCTGGATAGCTGAGTCTCTACATCTGTAGTTGAACTCCATGTCTGGCTTAAAATTGTGTTTGCAAAAGTTGATGAATATTTATGGTGTACACCTCCTGTTTGTTTTGGATCTAAATGTGATTTGCTCAGATATGTATTTCAGGTGTTGCATCCTGAAACGTTGAGGCCATTAGTTTAAAAAACAAACAAACATGACACCCCGCTCCCCAGCTTTGAACAGTCTTTGTCTAAACAGCCATAGTCTTAACAGAAACAAGTAACAAATAGCTATGTTTTAAAGAATAAATCAGATACTGTGATTTCCTACTAAAACTGGTGATAGCTGCATGATGGGATACATTAATCATTAAAATGCTGCCTTTTCCTCTTTTCACCAAAAAGTTGACCATGTGTTTTTGTTAGACAAATACTGATGACTAATAGCATGGTTTAGTAGTACACCTTTTTGCTAATCGGCTACAGGATCAGGAAGAGGAGGTTGCATTCAGGGTCCCATCTGTCATTTTGCTAATACTTTGTGCTCGAGCAGTCTTTCTGCTAGGACAGGCGTCTTTCTCCACCCCGGCATCTGGCACAGCACGTGGGACAGCAGCAGGAGGAGGTTCTGTTCCATGTTTCTCACAACAGAGCAGGAGAACTCCACTTGGCAGGAGCTGAACTAGTCAGAGTAGTTTTCTGTCAGAGTGGCTGCTTGCCTGCAGGGAAGTTTGCTAGTGTGACAATGCCGCCAGCAAATACTTTAGTAACAATAGCAAAAATTTTCAGCCAGGCATGAGGCAGGAGCTTCTGCCCTTTGCGTTTGAGCCAGCCTGCTGACTTCAGTGACGCTGTTGTCCAAGGGAATTGACTTGAAGGGGTTCCAGAAAGGCTCAGAAATCAGGATAACTGGACAGGATGGCAGACGTGCTTCAGCATAGTGGTATTCATGCACAGGTGCTGTGGGTTGGAAGGAGATGTGAAATCGTCCCTCTGTACTCGATGATCTTAAATGTCTTTTCCAACCTAAATGATTCTATGCTCATAGAAGCATAGAATGGTTTGGGTTGGAAGGGACGTTAAAGACCATCTAGTTCCAACCCCCCTGCCATTGTCACGGACACCCCCCACTAGACCAGGTTGCTCTAAGCCTCATCCAACCTGGCCTTGAAATTCATGGTTTGAACAAGAGATAACTGTGAGAGGGAGGGCGCATGTAGGAGTTGAAATAAATGGTTTACGTCATCCATAAAATGAATGTTGGTTGTAGTACAAGAAACAGTGAGGCTGCAGACCATGCTGTGATACCTGATATTTTGCGTCCTGGAATATAACTAACTTTAGGCTGTCTCATCTTTTTGAAGTAGAAACAAATGAAAGGTTGAGAGGAACAATAATTATATTAGCAAGTGAGGGGATGAGATCTTAAGCATCCAGGCAACTCTGAAAATGCACACTTGAAATCCAAAGAACTTAACATGGAGCAGCATAGTGTAATAACCATTTGCTGGAAGTATATGGTAGGTATTCTCTTTCAATTAAACAAATTTTAAATGCACAGTTCTTTCCAAAGTAACATCTGCAATGTTGTTAGATATTTAACATAATTTGAAAATACATGTTATCAAACTTAGGTAATTTAAACAATAAGATTTCTTAGGCCTAGTTTGTCTCTAAACCAATTACTTAAGCTGTTTTTACACTGAGTGTCAGTCTTCAAATCAGCTAAAGCTTATGAGCAAATCAGTCAGCTCACTTTTTTTTGTTGTTCACTGGTTTAAGAAATGAGAATTTAAAAATGAAGAGAGAATAAAGTCTCAAGTTTTGGGTTTCAGTCAAGGTGTCCTTTCATAATTCTCCCAGCATTATAAATTAAAGCAGTAAGTGATAACCTAGCTTCAAGTGTTCCCATTGGCTGCTTTCTCATACCTTTAACTCTTCAGAAGGCTCCGCAAGATTGGTGATGGGGTAACTACTGCAAAAATGATAGAGGCTACACATAAGCCTCCTTACTTGTTGGGGACTCTGCCCCTAACCTGTATAATCATACTCTTAGATAAATTTTTCATTAATAATTTTGAAAACAAAAATTATACATAAACATAAATACTACACAGGATTTCAGTAAATTTTAAGGAAGGGAGTTTGGACAACTGATTGTTCTGGGACTCTGTAATTTGTGAGGCTAAAAAAATTAGATATAAAAAAATGTTGATACTTATTTTCTTGTTTCTGTATTTTCTTGTGATCCACCTGTTGCTTTCTGCCATATTTTCTCTGGAGGTATAGACTCCATTTTATTTGTTAGTAACTCCTGTTTTAGAGTTTCTAGGCACAAAAGGATCAAAAATCCATGAACATGTGGTTCTCTTTAGATGTAGTTTCACATAAAGCTGCCTCTCTGAGTAGTTCTTATGAATTTGTCCCTTGCAACACATTTGCATACAGAGCGGGGTTGCTGTTTCAAAGTACAAACCTTTTTTGCCGCTAGAGAGCTCTGAACTGCCTCCAACAATTTTGTGATGAGTATAAAAGTATATAAATACAGTAAAATTGTAGAGATTTTCATGGAAATAGAAATTCCTCAATAACTTTTTTCCTAATTATAGCAATTAGTAATATTGTGTATCTGTAAACTCCATAAGATTAAACACCAATAGGATTACAGTGGTCCTCATGTCAAGACTGAATTCAGACCAAGAAGCAGCTTATCCCGTAAAATTGTGATAGCTCCAGTGAAATCTGCCTAGCTACGTTTTCTTTCAAAATTCCACTAAAAATACTATATTAAAAAGAAAAGCATGTTGGTTAAATGGATCTGGGTAGGAGGCACTTTAAATATCATATTTATCCTCTTCATTTTGTTTGGGTTTTTTGTGTGGGGGAAAGAAGTGGCTTGGAGGGGTGAAAATGAAGGCTTTGATTTTACATTAAGAAAAGTCTCTGCAAATGTTGCCAGGCCAGTTGATACCCCTGTGTGTCCAGTCTCCTTCTGTGAAATGGAGATAGCATTTTTCATTATCTACTCTGGGTTAAGCTCTTTAACTGATTATGGAGTTCTTTTTGCAAATCTTGTAGCTATTGGACTACTAGAAAGAAGTCCTGCAAAGCATATGGGAAAAGGTATAGTATAAAGTGAGAGCTTACCAAATGTAATGGTAAAGTAAAACAATGTTTTAAAACAATATTAAACTGTTTTAGAAGGTAATGGATATCATAGGAATATTTTGAATTCCCATAGATATATCTAGTATAGATACCTAATGGATGGGTTTTCTGGAAAAACTGCGCGGGCCAGATTTGGTTTACCTTTTCTTCTCATTCAAATTATGAAATAAGATTTATGTGGAACCATTTAATATTGTTTTTAATAATGACCCCAGTTTGAATGACCTTTAACAACACACTTACTTGCTCTTTATTGTGTGGTTTTTAATTTTGATGTTAACTCCTTGGTGAGAAAGAATGTGTCATGTTTATGCTGCATGTAATTAAAAGGAATTATTTGCCACTGAAACTTTTAAAATTTTCCTTCCAGGACTTCAGTGATTCTGGACCACTGTTGTTGAAATGATATTACCAAAGGCGGTGATTGCCTTGTGTTTGGTGGATGGAACCCAAGTGTTTACCTTCAGTCAAGTGGGTAAAACTCCCTAACTCCAGTTTACATGTGTAGGTCACTGCGTTATTGTGTTAGTCATTGTCTCTATGCAGCAATGACAAGGCTAGAAGAAGCAAACAGAGAAGTGAACATGCACTCATCAGTCAGATACCTTGGCTGTCTAGCCAGAATCAACTTACTGGTTGCCATTTGTATGGGCCTTTATGTCAGATGGGAAAAAACTGCGGATGCCCTGATTTTGGTAATATTTATTCTGGGGCTCTTTGTTCTTGGAATTGCCAGCATACTGTACTACTATTTTTCAATGGAAACAGCAAGTTTGAGTCTTTCCAATCTTTGGTTTGGTTTTTTGCTTGGCCTTCTCTGTTTTCTTAATGATTCTGCCTTCAAAACGGATGTGAAAGAAGAAGCTACTAAATATTTGCTCCTTTCCGCAATTGTTCTAAGGATATTACATGCTTTGGTTGAGAGGATTTGCGGTTGTGTCCATCATCGACCGACTCTGCTGACAACAGTTGAATTTTTGGAGCTAGTTGGATTTGCAATTGCCAGCACAACTATGCTTGTAGAAAAATCTGTGAGTATTATTCTGTTGGTCATGGCTTTGGCTGTGTTGATTATTGACTTACGTATGAAGTCTTTTTTGGCAATTCCAAATTTGGCAATTTTTGGAGCCATTTCATCCTTACTCTTTTTTCCATCATTGCAAATCCCCACAAACCCTTTTGCCTTGGCGTGTTTCTTCAGCTGCCTGATGTCAGATCCCCTTCTCGACGTTTACTTCAGTGGACTTTCAGTTACTGAACGATGGAAGCCCTACTTGTACCGTGGTAAAATTTGCAGAAGGCTTTCTGTCATCTCAGTTGGAGTCATTGAACTAATATTTTTCATTCTTGCAGCCTTTAAACTGCGTGATTTGGATCTCTGGTATTTTGTGATACCTGGTTTTTCAATTTTTGGAATTTTCTGGATGATCTGTCATGTAATTTTTTTAATAACTCTTTGGGGATTTCACACAAAACTAAATGACTGTCACAAGGTATACTATACCCACCGTGCAGATAACAACAGCCTTGACAGAGTTATGGCATCTAAAGGAATGCGTCACTTCTGTTTAATTTCAGAACAACTGGTATTTTTCAGCCTTGTCGCAACTGCTGTTTTGGGGGCCGTTTCTTGGCAGGTAAATAATAATCTCTTTATCTTAATTTTCCTCTTGAGAATGCTCCTGAGAATTGTTGGCTCCTTAAAATTCCTGTGACATTTGATGGTGTGCTGTGGCTCAGCAGTTCAAAGTTGGGAACCTTGGTTTCACCATGTGCTTCAAATTTGTTACTTTGTGCTGCCTTGGCTGTGACCTCTTAAGGCCACTTGAACTTACCAGCTTCCTTATGTTGGCAGAATGCTAAGAGCTAATGCTTCCAGGGCAAAAGAAGTGTGCAAAGTATTTTACATTCACCTACTTATGAAATTATTTTGCTTTTGCGTGCGTTGCGCCGTAAAGTTTGTTTTCAAAGTAGATCATGGTGTTGAACCCTAGTAATGCTCACTATATTGAGAGCTTTTCTTATGGACTATTTTAATTGAATCAAGGCAAACTTATGTTTTAAGAATGTATTTTTCAATAATTTTGTTTTGCATTTAACCATTAATGTGGTGTTAGAGATCAGCTGATAAACTGGTAAATTGTTGGTATAGCATGTGCTCTCAGTGTCTTATTTTCAAATCTGGTTATGCACCACAGGATATGTCCTCTGAAAGACCAGTTCTTAAAATCACACAGTGTTTTTTGCCTTCGGTTTCCATTTCTGAATTAGGGATGTTGTCTTTTCTTTAGTAGGAAACATAATTCAGTGCCCAAGTTAAAGGACATTTTGTGGTGTCACAGTTGAAGGTGTGAAGGGAGCTTGGTGTCTATTTTCTTTTTTTAAGCTGATCTAAAAACTGACAACAATGATTTTTGTACCCATGCATCTCTTAAACGAATTACATATATAAAAAAAAAAATATACAAAACTTGTATATTATTTATGGCAGATCCACTTTGCAGAAATGTTTCTGTAGTGTTTCCAAAGCAATTTGCTGCCAATTCCTGCAGATTTTCTTATATTAAATAACCTTAAAGTTGCAGAACTTGGTGGAAAAGGAAATGTACAGTTTTATTTTGTGAGGTTTTGTGTGTTGGTTTTTTTTTGTTTAGTTGGGTTTTGTTGGGGTATTTTTTTGTTGTTGTTTTGGTTTTGTTTTTACATGAATAGTATTAGAGGTTAACAGACAGGCCTGTGAGGAAGCCTGGGTAGTCTTGCTCTTTCTTTGGAAAAGTATCAGCACGCATATCAATAGCGTCTGGACTTGCAGAAAGCAGAAAAGGAAGAAATAGAACCAAAAAGAAGAAAAGAAAAGTCCCCAAAATGTGTTTACAGAAAGTGAAGGTGCTAGTGTGCCAAAAGAAATGGGAAGGTGGTTTGGGAGACAGAAACAATAGATGGTACCTTCTGCATGCTAGTATTGCTAATGTCCATACTTTTTCTTCTGAGAATGATGTGATTTTATCAAAATACACATTTTAATTTTTATCTGCTAGATTACTCTTTTTCATTAAAAGCAATTTTTTACCATCTCTGTCAGATAGTCATTAATTTCTCTATCCTTACCCTCCTTCTTTAACATCCTGAGACACATTAGTTAACAATTATATAGTTTTAAAATTACTTGGATGCAGTCTCTCCACTTAGTTACACCGAACAAAGCAGTCGGAAGAGATCAAATGTGTAAATTGTCCATATAGTCACTGGAGAGAGGCAGTTTCTTTTGGTGGCACCCAGAGCCTGTCTGCAGGGAGTTAACTACCAGACTTGGACAGAATCTTCAGGGGAAGGGCTCTCTCCCACCATGCATCTGCTTAAAGCACACAGGCACTTTCTGTAGGAGGACTGCTTCATTGCTGCAAGCTGTGTGTGTAAGCAAGCAGGTTTGGATTCATACCTACCTTGTTACTTTTTTCTCTTCACATTGATTGATAATTTGTAATTTTTTTCTGTCTTCTGCCTCAAAATAACCGCGACTATTACATGTCTGATAATTTTCAGTCCTCTCTAATTCTGAAGAAGTGCTGTCGTGCTGTGGAATGACTTGTGCAGGGCCATTCACAGGAAGCAAACCGGAAATGTGTCTAAAATCTTAATATTTTTTAATGGTTGATTTCAGTTTCTAGCATCCTGAGTGTAAATAAGATAAGCCATTGCTCATCACCTCTGTCTGATAGGTTTGGTATTTGCCTTTTCAGTGGGAAGAGGAGTAACTAGTGGCAAAAATGAAAGGCATCAGACCAAATACTGTTAGCTGTCAGGAGATTTCTTTTTGTATTATAATCATTTAGTTTTATCAGGTAATTGCATTTACTTTTTTTTACTATGTTTATATTTTTTAATAATATATTTATAGTAATCAATTAGATTAAGTTTATGAACGCGGTTGCTCCAGCTAAAATAATTCCTTCAGATGTTATGCTGTTTGCCTTGCAGATCACTGTGCCTATTTCATCTGTTGTCAGAAAAGGAAATATTTTATCAGACCTGTCCAGAATGTAGTTTAATAAGTGGATATATAATTTATTATAGTGATAGCAGGAAACTCTGGCCTTTTCTGTATTTTTTCTGGATCGTGTCAGGTGGGAATAGCTCCTGATGCAGCACTGAGTTAGCTCTGGGGCTGTGTATCGTGGCATGCTGTGTGTGCTGAGCGGTTGCAGAGACTCAGGAGGAAACTGGACAAGATCATGGAAACAAATTCACTGAGGTTTACATATTATATGGAAACCGCATCTGGCTCAGGAAGTCCTTGAGCCACCAGTGGTTGAAATTCTCAGGAAACAAATGTATTTGATCTGTCCTTACAGTCTTTCCTACGCGTCCATATGGCCTCCTTGGAGACAAGACATTATTCCAGAAGGACTTTTGGTGCAGCCTAATACTGCTGCTCTTACATTCTTAAATTATGCATTTTTAACTTAAATTTTCAATGTATTTTTTCCTTATATTCTTAAGAACGTTAAGTCACCTCAGTCACCAGTTCCTGTTGATGTGTTTGCTCTTTTTAAAATTGTTTAAAACATTTTTCGTACAGGTAAGATTAGCAGTTTTCAGTCTTTGCAGCTTCAGTTTGGGATTTATGTGGTCATTTTAGTAAGTGCTAATTATATTTAAAATCTATTAATTGTCACCTGGAAGGCAAAACTTTTTTTATTTATACCTTTCCTCACTCTGAAGATGTACTGAAAGCTTGTTTAATGATGCTGCATTTGATAAGAGGAGTGGCTTGAAATCACTTCATGGTCTGCCATTTGACGTCCTATATAATGAATAGAATTGGCTAAAAACCTAAGCCTTAGAAAGGTACTTCCTAACAGTCAGCTATAAATAATTAGCCATAGCATATAAAAAAATCTATCTCAGCTGTGTATGTTAGGGTGGTGGGGGGGGTTCTGTTTCATGGAAACCTTTGTTACAGGCACATTATATATGCCCTTTTAGTGTTTTTAGTAACTGTAATAGCTGTGCATTGTATAAATCTGAAGCATATGAAAGGTCAAGACCTAAAGAGACAGTTATCTGCTAATTGGTGGCTTCAAGTATCCTATTGAATTAAAATTGCCAGAAAAATATGAAATGCCCCTTTTGTGGAAGGGCCTTCAAAATGTGAGGTCACTTAACTCGCTGTTGCACACACAGTTCTGTGATTCGTGCGAAACTGTTGAGGCTGGAAGTCCTGCTAGCCAAGGACCTTTCCTTAAGGGGAGCTTGGCCCTTGCAATAAGCAGGGGTTGAAGGTCTCTGTTCCTGGTGCTTTGGTATTTGTGTGGGAAGAACTGTGGCTCCTGAAAGCAAAATCTCTCTCTGACAGATGAAGCTTTAAGGGTGAAGAGCAGAATTGTCAGGTCTGTCTGAAACTGGAGGATGAGCTCAGGAAGCATGAGAGCTATGAAACGAATTTGTTAAAGCTGGTTGCATTTAAAAGTGAAGTAACAGCTTTTCAGCGGGGCGTGTTTCAGCTGGGATATAGCCTGCCTCTGAGAATATATTTTTGCTTTAGCTGGAATTGAAAGATAACTTTAACTTGTTGTAACGGTCTATTAATGCAGTTTTACAAGAAAACTGCAGCTGCCTCTCAAGTCCCTGATGAGGCAAGGCTTTGTGATGTCTCAAAGCATTTCGGTTGTAGACTCCTAGTCCTATCCCTTGCTAATAAGAAGAAGCAAAGAATGCACTGAAGGCTTTACTCCCTTCACTAACAAGGGACCTAGTCTTGGTCTTACAACAAAGTAGCAAACCCTTGCTGAGTAAGGCAGCTGCCTCTAGCTTGAAGGTGCCAAGAGGGCCGAAGTTAATCTAATACAGGGTCCGCATGACCTCCAGCTCAATTGGTTGAAAGGGTTAGTGCTACCCTTCCCCCTCTTGCACATGTGCAGAAACATGTTCTCCCCATGCTAATTAAGGAGATACCCCTCTCCGCTTCCTATGCTAATTTGGGAGACACCTCCATCGATTGTATGCTAATTGAAGAAAGTTAGGCGGAGACCTGAGAACTTTTGTCTGTAAAAGGTGAATAAAAAAAGAGAAGGGGCTTGCGCCCACCACCTGAGGACTCCTGAGATGCTGACATATTGATGGAGTAACGCTCCCCCCCAAGATGTTGACACTCATCTCCAAGGATCCAAAGAGTGGTAAAAACTTTTCTCTCTCTTCTCTCCTTTTCCTTTCTTTTTCTCTTCAAGCATCTCTTGATCTCTGTCTCTCTGGCACATATGGCAACACCTTATAAGTTTAATGCCAGCTCCTTTTGGGGCTTGTTTATCAGGTTTTCCGTATGTTGTTCATTTTAGTACTGAAAAGTGATTGCAAGTGTTGTGAACGGTTGTGGGTTAAGTGATTGTAAGGTTTACGAGCGGTTGCGGGTTTCTTAGTATTGTTGGAAGTTATGCTGTCGTTATCACATTGCTGTAAGATTCGGTGTTGTTGGCGGTTGGTAGTGTTGTCATGAATTGTCTTTACCTTCTTTTATGATTCTCTTATATTTCACATTTCATACCCCACATTTCCCTTTTCCCGTAAACAATTATATACGTTAAAGTTATAAGCCAGCACTCAATTCTTTGGTGTCGTCTCACCGTAATTTGCCCCAAGG